GGGAAGCCTGAGGGGAAGAGACCTCTGGGGAGACCTAGACGTAGATGGGAGGATAATCTCAGGCGGGATCTGTGGGAGATAGGAGTTGAAGGAGACTGGATTTTGTTGGCCCAGGACAGGGCTTTGGTTAATTCGGTGATGAACCTTCGGGTTCCGTAAGCCATCTAGTTGGTTGGGTCCACAATTTGGGAAGCCTGAGGGGAAGAGACCTCTGGGGAGACCTAGACGTAGAAGGGATGATAATCTCAGGTGGGATCTATGGGAGATAGGAGTTGAAGGAGACTGGATTTTGTTGGCCCAGGACAGGGCTTTGGTTAAGTCGGTGATGAACCTTCGGGTTCGGTAAGCCATCTAGTTAGTTAGGTAGTTCAGAGGTCCTTGCTGCCTCCATAATCATCGCCCTGATGATGGAGGCAGCAAGGACCTCTCAAACGTTGGAAAACTTCTACCAGATTACACAGCGCAAGAATCCAGAAGACAGCCGTCTTCAGACTTAAAAAGGCGAGATTTGAGGGTCTCACGAAAACGAGAATGAAGACGAATTCCTTTCGAAATACAACGCTCAGCATCCCCACAGACACTTCTCTTCATCTGTGAAAACATTATCACGCAGCCAGCACTAGGAGTCAACGAAGTTCAACTTCTACCAGCGGATGATGAGGTAACAGAAGCGGTTCGGAACATAACAGCGATAATTTTAATTAATCTGCCTTTCCCAGATGGGACTGGCTGCGTTCGACGCAAAACAGAATTCTTTCTAAGCCCTCCACCCCCTTCATCCCCTGACCTCTTTGTTCGTCCCGTTTAATCTTCCTGATAGCATCCATTCCCGTCTGCGCCCGTCCTGAACACCCTTACAGATAGGCTACTTGTATTACTGAAGAGCTTTGCAGTACTGCATACACCAATGGTCAGAAAATCTCCTGGGTACTTTTTTTTATTTTAAAGTGTTGGATAAACTTAGAACATTTATGCCCAAATTAAACAGAACGCGATCAGTTACGCGCCAAATCACCTAATATATGTTTAAAATACATTTCTAATAAGCAAAATCTTATATATAAAAATTGTATAAACAGTCTTCCTCTACCACTGGAGATAAAAATTCAGAAGGCTTTGTTCATGTCATTAAAACTGATAAAATTAACTTACTGGAATGATTCCGTCCAATCAAAATTGAGTAGCCTACATTTAATATATGCCAATATCGGATTTCTGAAATACGAACGACTCGGAGGAACATACTGCTTCCATCTTCATGGACGATGCAGTGTCCCTCCGAAACAGTGGAATCTGCCTACAAGTCTACAGGACGTTACAGACCAGGACACCAAAACTCGACGTCTTCATTACCGCAAAAACCTCAAATCTCATAAGTTACAAAATGTTACACGGCGAGGTCCTGTGGATCTTCGGGTCCCATAAAACACGAGGGATTTCTTGGCCAACTTAGCGACTATCAGCTCCTCAAGAAGGACCCTGCTCCCACAAGATTGTTAAAAACTTTGTTTCTCATCGAATGTTGAAATAATAAAACCATTTTAATGACGGTAGTTACATTTCTGGTAGCCGATCTATACTCTGCATCCAAGTTTCGTTGGAACAACAAAAAAAGTTACAGACACATTTTAATTTTATTAATAAATCTAATTATTTCGCCGTATGTGGAGCCTTCGAAGTCCGTGTTGGTTAGCAGCCAACTGAAAAAATTTAAGTACGAATGGAGAAAGCTTTCGAAATAAGAACAGAAAGACATTTGGAAATGTTTCCGTCTTTTATAAATTAAAAATAATTAATTTCTTTTCCCGACATAATAAAATCCACATCATCAGTGGACAGCAAGCGGTAATCAATCATATCATAGATTATACTCTTACAAACAGTAAATTGTCACCACATGAAATAGAAACACGAGTCAACAGAAGTTGTGATATACGACGTTTCGGAGGCAGGTTCTGTTTCCGTCTTCAGTGACAAGACACTAGCTCTATCTAAGGGACCCAACAGAGTAGGTACCTCTCACCTGAAGACGGAGACAGAACCAGCCTCCGAAACGTCGTGGGGTTTAGAGAATAGACGATGGAAAAAGTCCTGACAATGAATAATTTTAAATGAAAAAATAAATAAAATAATTAATGATAAAAATAGCTTATACAGAATACGATGTAAAAAGACGCTTCAAATAAGGCAATGAAACATCTGAATTAATCTGAAAAGGGCGGCATTTATTAATAACATAACCGGAGATGAGAAGTTCGAAATTTTATGAAGATTTATGGACAAATAAAACTGGCCCAGAGCTAAATGATTTGTTGACCGTTGGCCAAAATAATAGGACAGGTTTGAAGCATCAAATATTTGAAAGAATTTATGAATATTAAAGAAAACAAATTTCAGAAAATGTGCTAAACCATACTCGGGACACTTCTCAAAGCTGACAAAATTCCGTTCCCGCAATGATGCTTGATTAAGAACACGGCCGACTTTGTGTTCAAAACAAAATGTGTCAGATATTTATTTCGTATTTCTTAAAAAAAAAAAAAAAAGTAAGGAACATCAGTGTACTCACTATTCGAACACCATGTACAGCATCCCTTCTGAACTGTAAGTTTCCAGCAGTTCTACGATATGAGGGTGTTTCAACATGTGACATATTGTAGCTTCCCGTTTCAGATCTGAAACAACAAACAATTACAAGTTAACAGAGAAAAATGCCCGCCCACCTGTGGCCGAAACGTCGGCTACCTTGTCATGAGTTTACTAGCAACAACAAAGATATTGTCATACACGTACGTGCAACCTGCGTTTATAATTAGTAACTACACATTCCTCCCACAGAGTTATTTGATTATCAGAGTAAACAGGGATTACTTCCAAAAACAGCACTAACCACGTGATCTTAGCAATGGTGGAGCGTTGTGTTATATTTGAGGAAACACTGGGTTTTTTAAATACTATTCTGGCTTCAAATGGTTAAATAAATGTATGATAAACAATTCGTAGCAGAAGTTTCTGAAATAGAACCAATCAGATTACAGAACCCAACCGCACAGCTGAATGATAAAATTAAACTACTCCTCACGTCAGTCTAAAATATTTTCCTAAGTCAGTCTTCGATTGATTAACCGACTGAAAATACCACAGAGCTGCTAATGTAATTGGTAACCACACGCTCGCAGACGTAGCTAATTAAACAGGGCAGAGTTCAGAAGAAAAACAACAGTTTTTCGCTTGCATAACAAACAACTCGTTTCACATTTTACTGTGGTTTTTTTCTGTCTGACTCGTGCGATATTTTCATGCTCGGTTGAGAATCATTAATACAAAACAATATAAAAGAGTACATATTTAATAATAATTCAGCCTACACCGCAGTGTTATTATACACAAGCTACAAGCTACGCAATTCTGGTTTTGTAACACACGTCACTTTAAAGTTAGAAATAAATGTGGGTTATCACATAACATCATCCATTATCGCAGCTCAGTCAGTATAGCGACTGGTTATGGACTGGACGACCGAGGTTCGATCCCCGACGGGGGCAGAGGATTTTTCCACATCAGCTCTGGGTCCCACCCAGCCTCCTATCTAATGGGTAACGGGGTCCTTTTCCGGGGGTAAAGCTGACTACTCATCCCCATCTAGTGCCGAGGTCAAGAATGAGTAGGAGCTACACCTCCTCTCCCCCCAAGTGCCTACATGGCGTATAGCGGGAGAGCTTTACTTTTTACTTTTATCATCCGTTATATCGAAAGACGAAGATGACTTCTTCTGTGATGATGCGCTGTATATGGTCTGGTAAAAATCTAAAAACGTTTCGGAGGAACTTGCTGCTTACATCATCAGGAGGCTCTGATCTGTATCTGTAAACCATCTTTTCTTCAGCCGTGCTCCATACCTAATTTACAGCCATTACAATGCCTTGCGTTGGTGACCGTCGAAACAAGTTAGGAAAAGTAAGCACAGAGTAACAATATTATCGCGTTCAACTTTATCTCTTCGAATGGTACCCGTGACGTCAGAGTCTGAGATTCACCACGCGGTTACAACTGAAGTGCTTCGACTAGATTATGAAGCAATAAATCACGATAAATTAATGATTTATCATTTTTATGATCCACTTTTGCGTATAATTCCCATTTACACAAATCCCTAGAGCATTAAAATTTGTCTGATATCTTCTCAAAATATCACACGGTCACTATATCTGTAATTGTTAACATATAAATAACATTTCATACAGAACCTTTAAGTGTGTTTGCAATGTATCGTCATAAATAATTTGACAAGTGTCATTATTTACTGACGACGAACTAAACATCAAATATATTATCGAAGATCCATTAAGAAACAAATGTCATGACCTCGAAGTAAATGGCACTAGTATCACTCCGACCTTGCACGTTCACGGTTATGTTGGTATTACTGATAACAAGGTGGGGGGGGGGTGGCCTCTAGTAAATAAAATTAATACATGTTTCACAAAAATTTTATCAGCTGGTTCAGAAGTTAACGAAGGGAGAACTCAAAAATTTCATTACAAAATATCGAAATATCCTAAAACCGTCTATTTTAACAATTCTTTCGAACGCACATTAAACCATAACGCAAATTGTTTCATCACGCTTCTGTGATTATAGTGTTTATTTTCTATTGTACTCGCTACAGGCACACACAAAAAAAAACATACACAAACGACATCTTGCAGAATTTCAATTAGTATTCCAGTGCCGCCTGGAGTCTCCAAGACAGGATTCGAAAGACAGACTACGTGAACGGCATTTTTAAACCAGCCACCACGCATAAATAGACGTAATGTCTCGCCTGCAAGTCCAAATCGATTATCGAAGGACAGATAATGACGGTAAAAAACAAAACACAACCATTTATTGGTCCATATCTTTCATACTCTCGTCGTCACTAACGCAGAGAGACAAAGAATTCTTACTCTTTATAAAAACCAATATGAAACCTGTCCACTGCAAACAACAGCCGTACAGGGTGATTCATAAGTTCCAGTTCACGTGAAACAAAATTATTGAAAATGGGAAATTATTCGAAGTTATTATTATTATTTTTATACGTATTCACACTCTGAACACACGCAGTGTTTGTGTTCCTTACCAGTACCAATATATTTACCATGCTTTCGGCCTTCAGAATGCCATCTTCATTGCAACTGTTTCACATAAACTCAAGATCATATGCACGCGTGTGCCAAGATGTATTAAATATGTTGGAAAGAATTAAATTATTTTCCAGTGTAACACAAAGCAATAATCAACCTTAAAACCTTATTTATCTGAAATATATAAAATCATGCATACGAATAAAACTTATTACACTTTGAGAAACACTTAGTGTCGAACGCGTTTCGACCTCATGAGGTCTTCATCAGTGTCAAAAACATTAATTCACTAGTCCGTCTATTAAAGTTCACAATCCACGCACAGATAACGCAACCTCGACCAATCGTAGACCAACAACGGAAACCCAAGCTTAGGCCAGCGGACATTAAGTTAATTAACTGAATTTAGATAAATACACCAACTCCTACACAATTAACGTCCAGTATGGTATTACATGAAGCATGGTTTTATAAAGTGCGACCTCTTATGTTTTATAACAAACCATTATCGTATGAATTATATCATATAATAGTTAGACGGACGGACAGACAGAGAGAGAGAGAGAGAGAGAGAGAGAGAGAGAGAGAGAGAGCGAGCGAGGCGAAAAGGTGATTTTAATGGTTCGCGCAAAACATCGGCGAGCTGTACGCGGTCCGCAGGCATCGTGTTGGTAACCCAAAATATAAGGTTACCTGACCGCAGTCTTACGTCACTGACTGTTTCGCTGCGTCCGGAAAGACGCCACTGGGAGCTATATATATATATATATATAGGACGGTGGCAGCATCTCGCAGGGGAGCCAACATAAAATGTCAAACGGATCGGGCAACGAAATCGAGACCGTCAGTTCACGACTTTCTCCAGCAAACATTTAACGAGCGGCTGTAAAACCATAGGAGAGAAGCACTAAACCATTGGACCCTTCACAGTTTCCATGTATTTCGGGTCGTTTTAGTGAAATATCGGTGCTCAGAACAGAACGCTACTGGCCTTCAAATCGACATCAACGGGCTGATCTTTGTAACGGGGACACGTGGTGGTGGTGGCTTACTTTCCTTAAGTTACAAGCGAAAGACACGTTAACTACGTCACAATCCATACGACCACAGTCGACACCTAACTTGTTAACCATACTGTACTTTTTTATCCTAACAAAGTTTAGCCCCCCATTAGACCAATTCCAAAGTTACACAAATTAAATTATTTGTTTTTTCCGTCTAATCACAATTGTGTTTAAAAATAAGATAATTAAAATATCATTTTATGTTCCAGACCGAATAATCGATTTACATTTTGGAACATTTCTACAACATGTTTCGGTTTCATCGAACCATCTTCAGATGTAAAATTATATTAATAAGTTTAAAACACTTGGTATCGCTTTCATCGAGGCACGTACTTGAAAACTCTTTTTGGTAAGGCATCCGGTGAATGAAACTTCTTTTATTTGATATCCTTAATTTCAACGACCGTCTTGTTAAATTTAAATTTATTATATTCTCACTTCGAAAACTGTTTCTTACATCTAAGGGTCGAACATCCTTTTCACACACAAATTTGGCCTGCCTAAGACATTGGTCTATTGCAGTTTCTTCAAACCCTCATTACTTTGATATATTTTATTCTAAATTCTTATGACAATCCAAGAATTCAAATCCTTGACCTGTCGCAGAATCAATCCTTCAACCGCACTCTTGCTCCTGACTTGACTTCATCTCTAGGCAAACATTGTTCACTATTTACAGAGGTCACGTAGTAGGTCGATACTGGCTAATGACAGCTATTCCAGTTTTGCAGTCCAGATACTCTGATAGACTAAGAGAATCCACATAAATCTATGCCTAGGTAATTACTGCATTCTAAAGAAATGCCCATGTTCTCAAAGCAGAGTAAATTGTTCGACTTAAAGATAGAGATAATTTAAATCTCCGAAACGTCGGCGATACACCACATTTTAAAACTGTCGCACCACATCAGCTGTTGTGACATGTTTCTCTGAAAGCCTTTCATAAGAACTCGCTCATTCGTTAGGACCGTCATATCAACAAACTTTTACAATTCGGCCAAAAAAAGTTTCGTATGTCGAAATACTCGAAAATTCGTTGCTTTGGAAATTCGCCATAGCGTGAATCCTCAAGTTTCGTGTTTTATAACAAAAGGTTTCTTTCTTTTTTTTCGGACGTCGACGTTAGTTATTAAATGACAGTTCGCAGGTTCTTCCGTTCACTTATAATTTCTACCTGAGGAAAACACAGAATTCTATAATGCCTATAAATATACTAACCTCTGCTTAAAAGTTTCTGGTAGAAGGAAGCTTTTAAAGAAATTAGTGTAATATACTTAGAGGGCAGCACCGCAGAAACCCCGTGTTAAACGTACAAAGACGGACGTGAAAGAGAACATGGTTAGGACACGTAATCACAGTCGCAGAGAAAAGGCAAAGAACCACACAATTTCCAAGAATTTCTTTTATCTTTCTACCTCCAAGAGTTGAAGCAGTAATTCCTTCTTGCCACGGAATGATTTCTGCATTATCAGAACCTGA